ATTGATCTAATGCTCACGAACGAAGAGCTCATGGTTGCGAAACCAAGGATAGAAAGCTTTCCGGGGGCGGGGCGACCATGTAACCATGGTTTATAACGTCGTATATTATGCAAAGTATCCACGAGAACATACTAACTTGTTTAGAACAATCACTCGCTACTCTGAATTCAGGTATTTCGACTGTTCTCTTTAACTGTTTACACACACTAGTGAAATTATCGCGTTGCGTACAAAAGGGTAAACAATGTACAACTTCATACAGTTCAAAGGTAAACGATCAATAGCCTCACCAACGTAGAGCGAGGCTGGCTGTAAATTCAGTCTGCTTGCACAAATTGAGCTTAAGCCGCCAAATAGCCGAGGCTTCGGCAAACTAAAACAATCAGGCATTGCTCTATAGGCTACATACATTAAACACTTCACGAGAACGTTGACACATTGTGAAATCCAGCACCGCCTCTGCCTGGCAATTGGAGAATGTTATTGCGCGGCCGAACTGGTGTTATTGTATCAAGTTAATAAGTTGCTCTGCAACTCCAACCTGGACAAGCCACACCCTCACGTTACCGCCTCTTATGTTTATCTATTCCACTGTACTTGTGGTAGCAACTACGTTGGCCGTACTGAGAGGAGGCTATCCACTAGGAGTTAGAGCACAATCCACGAAATATGGTCTGCTAGCTCTATTACTCCACACGTCCTGGATTGCACAATGTGCCAAAGTCCTCGTGATTTGTTTAAACTACTTAACCTACAGGAAAATGCCCGATTGCTACGGTTTGCCGAAGCCTCAGCCATTCGGCGCCTTAAACCCAATTTGTGCAAGCAGGCTGAACTTAAGGCCAGCCTCGCACTACCTTGGTGAGGTCATTGATGGTTTTCCCTTGGACTGAATGACCTTGTACATTGCTTCCCCTTTTGTAGGAAACGCCGCCTTATCTTTGCACGATAGCCAGCTGTTTGTGACGGAATGTTGTTAACACAAGGTGTAGGCGCCTTGACCCTGAATGTTTGCTTAGGGCATTAAGGTTTTCAGGTAAGTCCCCCTTCTCTCCCTCTTCTTATTCTTTATTTCATGGGTCCTCATGGTTGTATGGCAGCGAAGCATCAGTTCAAATGGCTGATGTACTGCTGTTGATGATGATGATGATGTAGGAAACGCCCAAATTTCATTATTGCTTGTAACAGTCTACGAACAGACATAGAGTCATCAGCAACCATGAGACTCGAATAAGGTACAGAAATAGTAAAGGAAAACACAACACAACACATTAAACTCCATGGTTTCGTCAGAGGGCGAGATACTACCCGGTTGCCCAAGCCGAAGTAGGATGTTGACTTAGGGGACACCACCCCGAGTCTTTGGCTGAATAGCCTGCCCGCAAGGCAGCAGAGCGAATTCAAGGAATCGCGCCCATTGGGAGCCGGTGACTGATTGCTCAGTTCAAACGCCTTTCGTTTGTTCCTTTGTCAAACAGGGGCCCAATGCTCCCCAGGATTACAGCATAAATTTGCTGCAATACAATGTCACGCCAGGAAGAAGCATGGGGCAGTGACTTTATTTGGTGGCGAGTCACGTCCGCCACGTCACAGTGTTGCTAAATGGACATATGTGGCTTTTTATATGGAGAACGCTTGCCAGGCGAAAACCCACCACGTTCTGGAACACTGCCACCGAACCATTTGCTGGAACGGGAAAATCCCCAACCACCCAGCTGGCACCACGAGGAGTTTGTTCAGCAAGCCACTCAAAATACCTGAACTCAGCGTATCATGTTAAAATGTTTTTTCTTCTTGTTATTTTGAAATATATGAACGAAAAATCCTGTATGAAATCGCCCACTAGGACAAACTGGCAGGACTTGTGGAAGAGGCCAGCTGGGAGTTTTCGGACGACTGTTCTCTTGACGGTGCCTTGTTGGAATTCACTGGCAAGTTCATTGATCTGATTAAATCTGCATCAATCAACAAGCCCTTTGGTTCTCCACGTGCACAAACATACATTCGGAGTAGAACGCGAAAACACATGAAGGTAAGAGACACCGCGTGGTATGTGCATAGAGCCAAGCCTAGCCCTGAAAACTTGAGTAACTATGTTGTGCATTGTAATCACTGCATAACACTTGTACGCGAAGACCAATTAGTACACCAGTAGTCTAACGGAAAAGGTTTGTGTTAACATAAAGCTTCTGCACCGACATGTGAACAGCCTCCGGAATGTGAAACGTGACGTTCCCCCACTTATATCAGCAAATGAATGTTCTTAAACCACCGAGGATAAAACCAACATCCTACGGCTACAATATGCCCCAATTTTTCTACGTGCTACCAGCATTTTTAATATACCTGTCCCATTCTCCCTGATGCCAGTATTTACACACGTCGCGTTTAGTTCAGAGACCATTTGGAGGAAGCTGCTATCGTTGCGCACGCATAATTCCCCTGGAGTTTGACAACGTTCCCCGTGAGCGCTGTAGGTGGCTGCTACGAGGGTAGCTGAAACATTAACGAGATTTTTCCGAAGATGCCTGGACGAACAGCAGGTCCTTACCATGTGGAAGCAGAACATCATTGCCCCGATCTTCAAAAGTGGTAGCCGTCTAGAGCCAGCCAACTATCGTTCAGTTATTCCTCTCCGGTGCTTTCAAATTGATGGAATCGATCATAGCTGAAGCTGTAATGGACTACTTCAAAAGGTCTAACACCATAGCACCGAAGCAACATGGATTCCGTTAGCATCGATCATGTATTACCAAACTACTGCTTGCCCGTGGCAGTTGGAGCGAGATAGCCTACAGTTGGACCGGCATTGATGTTATCTACCTAGACTTTTTCAAACATTGGACAGCATAGATCACCGCATCCTTCTCCAAAAGCTGCAATCATACGGAGTTGGAAACCCTGTCCTTGAATGTTTTGGAAACTTCTCTTTTCAGTGACGCCTTCAGGTTCAAGTTCGACGTTCATTTTCTAAGGCAATGGATGTGGACTGCGGTGTTACACAAGGGTCAGTGTTGGGGCCGCGGTTATTCTTGTACGTAATTAATGACCTTACGAGTGTCATCAAGTCAACTTTCCTGGGTTTTGCTGATGACTAAAAGATATGACGGGCAACCGATTGTCAGGAAGATCATGATATGTTGCAGCGAGAATTAGACTGCACTTTTGGGTGGTCAAAAGTAAGTCTACTTACCTTTAACACGGAAATCTGGAACACCGTGCATGTCCGCCACAAGCCCACGTACGCATATAAGCTTGGAGACAACATTCGGAAAACCGCCTCACAAGAGCGAGACCTTGGGCTGGTGATGTAAAATAACATCGGCTGTTTGGCGCAGTCCTTGTAGGCCACCAAAACCGCCAACCAACATTGTCTTTTACGGAGTGCGTTCGGGAGGTTTGACCCTTCTATCTTCCATCAGGTACTCAAAGCGTATATGAGGCCCCATGTGGAGTACGCGATCCAGCCTTGGCAACGCTGGTTTAAACGCGATCTGTTTGCACTGCAGACCGTACAAGGACGGGCAAGAAAAAAGGTGAAGGGGTTGTCCCACCTGTAATGCCATAGGCGCCTGAATCCCTGAGAGTGTACAGTAGAAGGTATCGCAGTCTACGGGGTGATCTCATCCTAATGTTCCAGATTTTGCATAACCCCAGGCTGGCTTGCCACCACCTCCTGAAGCTTAGTTGCAACACAGAATCGAGAGGTCATAAACTGAAACTTGCCACCCAATAAAGTCGGCTTGAGTGCCGCTAGAATTGTTTTTCCCTTCGAGTTTGTCAACCGTGGAACGCTCTTTCGACTTTTGTCATTTTCACTCCCACGCTACCGAATTTTAGAAAAGAAGTCGACGATGCTTTACACCATTAACATCACTTGCTCTGACCTATATTCATTGAGCGACGACAAGACGCAGACAAACATTGTGCTCACCAACCGCGCGAAATCGGGGTAGACAGTTAGACTTATGTGCTAACTTGGATAATATGGTGAGTCCACAAATGTGATTTTCACTTTTGTGTAATTTCACAATCCATCCCAACGTACTTGTCGAATATTGGCTTTTTATCCATATTCTACCATTGTTCCACTCATCTCATTTGATCTCATCAGATGAAGATAGCAGGCATCAGACCCGTGACCATTGTAATTGCACCCAAAATCTCTCACCCTTTGGCTACGGGCTCAAGACGGGAAACGCTCATCACAACATTTAATGACTGCTTGGAAGGACATTTGAAGTACTCGTTGTGTGACTGGATTGCGACGCGCCATCCCAAGTAGAATACGATTCACTTTGAAGTGAACCTTGTTTCATGTGATCACTAGGGCCGTAGCCGAAGCAGATGGACATTGGGTGTTACCCGCCCTGCTTCGGCTACGGTCACAGTGCTCGCATTGATCAAGATTTACTACAATGCGAATCGCGGTCTACGTTGGGATGGCGCGTGGCAATCCAATCCCACAATGAGTACTTAAAAGTTACCCTCGGATAATAAGTGGTATTTTAAAAATCTGTAAGTTCTATTATCGAAAAGAAACCGTTGTACTTATCAACGAATCGCCTTTAGTTCCTATGTCCCTCCGGAGTGTAGATCGTTAGATGGACGCATTTCTCGGGGAATATGATGGTTCGAGGAAGTTGCTAACTACGTTGAACCGAATTGTTGGGTACATGTTCAAACGTCCTTTCACTTCGTACCATATGCTTACATCTAGCCATGTAATAGAGCATTGCTTACTACAATGCATTTTGGTTTTTCAATTACCTGCTCTTGCATCACAGTTTCTGCTGCCAAAGCTTTCTGTGTGCTACATGAGGGTCGATTTAAAAACACTGTCGCTTCCCAGTTGGTTGTCGTTTTCCTTTTCTTTGAACTCGGAAAGTGAGGGCAATCCCCCAACTTTTCTGGTGCCAGGGAGTGAGAGAGACCTGAGGTCAACATTGACTTCATTTGTTGTTGCACACAAGTTAACCGTCGTGTTTTTCTTTGTTTCAGCTACTAATCTGGCCGGTTCTACCAGTATCTGCGTTTACCTACTGATCTGTATATGAACTACCAAACTGTCCTTCCAAAAACAATCGCGTCCTTATGTGTCTTCGTTGCTGCCATGTAAGTCATTGTTAATTTTACTCATTACACGCAAGGATCCAAAGGATAGCACCATCACAAGTTTTGGTATAGTTGAGGATGGTGATCTGATGCAGGACATTGGGATGAATCGTACACTTGCGCTGCTTCAAGATTTGATGAATCAAACCAGGGGCCCGTAAGTGTTTTGGACTTTTCCATGCATATTCTTGAAAAAGCCCTTTACTGGCCTCCTCTGACCGTAAACCACAATACTGATGGTTTTATGGCATAGATAGTGCCCAGTAACACATGCTAACCAGACACTTCCAATAAACTGTTGATTATCCTCAGGATTACTGATTATACAAGTCATGTTATACTCTCTCGAGATGGACCGTTTAGCTACAACCTTCTGGTCTCCAATCGCAAGTTGTTTCAGATCACCCGTGATATTCAGCTGCCAAGGCCTCCACAGCGCTCAACTTGCAACCCAAATGTGAAAGTGTCCTCAGCACCAAAGGCTCATCCACATTCTTCTGAGTTGGGTTAGAGGAATGACGCTGAATTTGGATACAACGAGACTCAAGCAACCAGTATTATCCTGGAGCGTTACAAGGCCAGTTAGTAGCACGTATGTGCTTCGGCTCATCTAACTGCACTGATCACTGCCCTGTAGGTAGAAGCTGAGCTTTGTGACCGACGTATTTAAGCGCGTGATCATGCTACACTTCGGTGCACAAATAATGCCCATACTGAATAATAAAGAGGTTTATCAATAGTAGCGCACACCTTTGCTTACGGCAGAACAATGGAACAATAATGTAGTAAGAGCAACAAGGTGAATGTTTAGCAAATCTCGTAGGATAACCAGAATGAAAGTCACAATATGGTGAATATAAAACAGTGAGAAACTGGAAATCGTTTTGGTAGACTCATTGTAGTGTTACCACAGAGGCATGTATAAAGGGCCCAACTCAGTTGTGTAGGTTTATTCTGGTTGTGCAGCTGTCGTCACATTATATCGTCGGTCGATGTACACAGGCTACCTCTCGAAATGTAGGTAGGTTATTCTAATTAAAGGGCCCTTTTAAACACCGATAAAGTAGGGACGGAGACAACGTACTTTTGGAGGGTATTCCATCGCTGGCACATACACATTCTAGCCGACTGTATTGGGGGGCTAAGTTAAACTGGTGGCCCTCAAATTCGTGTTGTGGCTCACTTGTAGTAGGTGGCGGCAGAGATGGTTTGGGTTCCTCTTAACCTGGTATGCCATAATAAAATCGGCACATAGGCGCCGGTACCCAGTCGCAGCTTAATTTTAGGGTCCTCAGTCTAAGTTGATAAAGCAGCTTGAACAGCAATTTGACACGCTTCGTGTCTCGTCGTTGTAGAGTCTCGAGCGCTGTAAAGTCTTGCTTGTGCCAAGGCTGCCAGGCCTAGATTCCGTATTCCACACGAGGCCGCACGTACGTAGTAAGGAACGGCGAACAGACAGAAGGATCAAACCACTCGAATGCCTTCCGTAGCATGACAATGTGTTGGTTTGCAGGGTTTTGCGCCTTCTCAGATTGTTCTGAGCTTCCCAGATCAGCCTGGACTATTACCCCAAGGTCGCGTTCCTGGTTGACTGCTTGCAGAAAGTGGTGTCCAGGCTTGTATGCGATGTTCGGTTGGTGGCGAATGAACGCTTCTCCGAAGTGAACTTGAGCAGATTGGGGAGTGATCACTTATACGCTCTGTCCAAGTATCGTTGAAATGCATCAGGATCTCCTGGATCGACAGTCGTACGCCTCAGCTTAACATCTTCAGCGAACAGCAATAGATCTGAGGCAATCAAACGCACGAACTACCTTATGAACAAGCGAAACAGACGTGGCCCAAGAATTGATCCTTTTGGAACTTTATATTTCACATGAATCGGATCGGACAGCGCACATCGAACTCTGACCTGAAGTTGCCTAACCTGCATTAAATTCTTGATCCACCTAAGGACAGGATCCAAAGCTCCATAGCTTTTGAGCCTGTGAAGCAGAATGTGATGGTACAGTCATTCGAATGCTTTGGAGACGTCCAGGTAAATGACGTCTGTTCCTCCAGCTTTATCGGTCGCTTCCGGCCAACTACTACATGCACTCAGTAGGTTGGTAGTGCACAAACGGTTTTGGCGGAAACTGTGTTCCTCGAGTGCTATGATGTGACGTTTTAGACGGTCTACTAAAGCCTCAGCGATGGTCGCCTCCATCACCTTTGATAGCACAGGGAGGAGGATCACCGGGTGATAGTTGGTGGGTTCCGAGTAATTACCGCTTTAAAAATATTGAAGTGATTATTGCATGTTTCCACACGGTAGGCACAATTTGCTTATCCGAGCACGTTTAGAAGAAATGCGTTAATGACCCAGCCAGCGTGTCGTTGCTGTCACGTACAGCGTCCTCGGGTGAATATAATCGATTCCGGGGGAGCTGTAGGTGCGTAGTGAGAACAGTTTCTTTAACACAGCTGTGACAGTAAATCGATGTGTAGTTGTTGTGGAGTTCTCCGAGCTGGACAACTTGATTACAAACGTTTCGCTACCATCTGAGGTGGCATCTTCAGTGCAGAATCGATAGCAGTCAGGTAGCAGGAGCTGGTAGAAAACAAACGCAATTATTGGATTTGCTTTCTAGTCTCGTTGGAAACTTGAGGTATACTGCATCCGCAGGGTGTTAACTGCCTCTTCAGCACTCTGTGCTACTCCGACTGCTTTGTTAGTTTGGCGGATACTGAGCTTGACTTTCCGGATGGTATTTACATGTTTATGTAGGAGCTTTTTGTTGTCCGCAAACTTACAAGCCAAATGTTGTTGGTGAGTCAATTTGACCTCACGGACACGCATGTTACGATGCTTGCGCCGGGGCACGTAATCGCTCCAGGTTTCGGGGACGAGGGCGAGCTCTGTATGTGCCAAGCTGCATTCCTCAGTGAAAAGTGGTTGCGGGTTCTACTTCTGATGAAAGACGAGGGCTTGGTGGAGCGAATCCTCTTCGTTTCTGTGACAGTTGCGGTTATGTTGCTGAAGCGTTCAAGAAGCTGGATTCAGGCGTTGTTAGGGGAATCAACTTTCAAGAATTCCCAGTCGGTCGTCTCAACTAAGTCGTTTAGGGTGTTGCAATGTGTGATAGTACGTGTTAGTTCTTTGTGTACCTTCGGATATTCAGCGTAACAAGCAGTTATAAATTATGGTGACATGACCGCTTAATCTTAGTGGGGTGTCTATAAATAACCAGTTGACCTTGAGTTCCTCTTTCTTAAGTACGAGGTTGAGTACCGATGGTTTGGTATTAGTTCTGCACCTGGTAGGTGAGGTGATGTGATTGTTGAGCGGAACACTTGTGCTTAGGTGTTGCAGTTCGGCCTTGGGTGTTTCGCTGAAGAATTCCGAGGATTCCAGGTTGTGTACGTTGAAACCGCAGGAAATAGGAAGGTAGCTGTTAGTTCGTAGTAAGCATTTCGTCATTGATGATGTTAGGCTGGAATCCATCCCTGGAGTGGACAATGGGAGGCAATATACGACTGTCACGAAGCAGTTGTCTTTGTGTCTGAGACGCAAACGGCACCATAGCGAATCGGTGACCGGCGTTTCCGGATCATCACGTGGTTCGCATTGTAAGTCGTTACGATAGTATTCGATAGTACCACAGGGTTGTAACATATGCTGACCAAAACTCAATCACCATGGAACTTATGGAAAGCGCAGATGTTTGCAACAACAGAAAAGGGGCATCTGCATGGATGGCAGCGGGCGTTTAAAGCATACTAGCTGTCTTGGCCCGATCAAAATGCAACATGACATGGAGACAGTGCAATTATACCTAAGTGCCGGCTGACGGAGAATAACACTTCGATCACCTAAGCTCTGTTCCCTTGTGCAGTAGTTGTACCATTGTCTGGGCATTAAAAACTTAGCTCTGTTCCTGATCTCTGCAAGGGACGTTTGTCAGTATATGTAGACGAATATCAAATACCCTATCATGTGAGGCGTTCGTCCTACCCAGTGATCTTCTTGCTGTGATTCCCACTGCCTAGTACGCAACATTTCTCTTTGCCTCAACCCAAACCTTATGTGCTCCGGACCTAAATCCTGATTCCGTGACCTGACCGTCAACTCTGTTCTGTTCAAAATTACCCGGCAACCAGCACTTTGAGAATTTGCACCAGTACATTGTGTTGCAATCACCCACAGGATAACGTTTTTCAATTTGTTGTGAACCAACTTCGCTCTTGCTGCATCCGGTTCCAGTGGTTGCATTATCAGTGCACTGAAGCGTTTCAGTCTCTATTCACTTTCTCCTTTTGGACATTGATGTATATATCGAATGCATTATATTGACGCTCCTGAGTGTGGCTCAATGTGGTTACCTTATCTTGTCAGTGACTTCATATTCATGGGACCTTGATTCCAGCGGAGCTTATGCTTGAAAACCATTTCATTCATGTACCTTATTGTGTTTCCTTCCCCCTCTATTTTCACCACTGAACCCTTACGATGTCAGACTATCACTGTGTGCGTGACACACAGATATAACATTCAGGACTCCGGGTAGCATCATCTCGGCTGACCAGTTACCTTAAGCCATGTATGGTGCAAGGGGCGCCGAGTATTAAGACGCCGCTATTTGTACATATGTGTGTCAGTTGCAGCCATATTTGTTGTCCATTTGGAGTCAGAAAAAGGTTATTGATACGAATTCGTGCTGCAAGCGCAAAATGTTGTGGTTTTGTACAAATGGTGTTGCTGCTTGTTGGTAAATACTACAATTAACCATTCCCATCTTGTAGCTTTGATTCCGGTGGAAACGAGTTATCTCGTTTCTCAATTCTTCTAAGTGCTTTACCACTTACCGTGTATTCCATAATTGGCGCCAGCAACTGCAAAGGTTCTACATCAACAGACACATGCAGAATGTTTCTCATTTATTTTAACCAACTCAAGCTGGGAGTATGTGCTAGATTCATTTATTATGCCGTTTTGGTTGGCGCTTTTTATCCATTAACTTCCCAGGGAATTCAACTGACAGATCGATGACATAATTACATAACCTAAACGCTATTTTCATTTTCGGTTCCCAGTGTCAAAATGTCATTTAGGTGCTAGACAGGTTTTTACCGTATAACACATTTTGGACTATCGATGGATATACAACTCTCTAAATG